ATCACGGAACGACAATTCTTTCCTTCCGAACCTACAAAACACCAAATCGCACAATAGAAATAGAGAAATATACGAAAACGACTCAAAAACGAGAAGCTAATAAAAACGAACGCAAAAATGGACCGGAACGCACAAACGGAACCTAAAACACTCGACTCAAGCAAATAAAAACACAATAAAATAAACAAAAACATAACAAACAAGCACATGTTATCTATTGAAGTCTTTCGACTTTGTCGGGAGCACATGTTATCCATGGAAGTCTTTTGACTTGTGGGAAACCATTTTTCGGGAGCACTTGTTATCTATGAAGTCTTCCGACTCAAGGGTAACCTTCTGTCGGGAGCACAAGGCTACGAGGTTATTCATGTACCATGTTGATGTCATATGATATGTTTTTATATTGAATGTCTATGTAGCATGTATTCTTCACTGAGTAAGCGGAAATGCTCACCCCTTATTTGTTTTTCATCCCCCAGGATGTTCGACTTGGCAACGAAGCGATGGCGAGAGTGGTCTAATAGATAAATGAAATGGTTTTCGTGTTTATATGCTTTAAGTTATTTCCAATCTTTTTCTTTAGACTACGATTATCAAATTTTCTAAGTATGTTATTTTCATGACATGATTTAAGTACTCATTGATTTCGATGAATTTTTATCCATGATGATGATTATGCAAAAAGTTATACGAGGCTATGCAAAGTTTTGAGGCTATGATACGTTCAAAGTAGTAGTGCCCTTCAGCTTTCAAATGGTGAATGGTTTTTTTTTTTTAAAAAAAAAAAGAAAGTATTCAAGGAATTTAAGGTATGAAAAATGGGGTGTTACAAGTTCGGCTCGTTGAGCCTCGAGCTCAAGGCCTGAACGAGCAGAGCTCGAGCTCAATTTTTGGACTCAACTCGGCTCATTAAGGGCTCGAGCACCCTAAGCTCGGATCGGATCGGCTCGGCTCGGCTCGACTCGTTTATAGGCCTAGTCCCCCCAAAACCTACTCCATGCAACCTCGAGCTATAAAGTAGGATGAGTGGTCAGAGTACGAAAAGTCGATCTGACATGTTAGTAACCATTAATGCAAATCTGAAAGGGCATACTGTCGCCTCTTACCTTGTGTCCACTATTCTCATAAATGATTTGAACCACTGAAGTGCTCGCGATCCAAGGGCTCAGCCGGTCAACCTATCAAGACATAGAGGGGTGTATTCAATTCGAATTTCAAGTGACAATTTTTTACGATTTTGAGATTCTAGAGAAATTATGCAAAATCTTAAGTCTGTAGGTGGGATTAGAAGTGGAATTTCGTATAAATTTTTGTTTACAAATCCCACGAAATCTTAAGAAATCCTATTCTCTAAAAAGTTAAATACATCAAGATTTTGTAAGACTTTTTAAAAATCTCAATTGAATACCGCCAAGACTTTTAGAAGTCTTAATAAATGTAAATTAAATACGCCAAAATTTCTAAAGTCTTAAAAAGTCTTAAGAAATCTCAATTGAAGACACCCCCTTGGTGTTAATTCGGTGTAGCCCAGCCACGGATATATAACCAAGATTCTTTCCATGGTCTGGAATCACAATCGTAAAGCAGCAAATCACCTTTTGGAGTCCTGAAGGAACAATTTAAAATTTTTGTGAATCCCGCCACTACACAAGGAGCAGTACCTGGGAGATCGAGTGTTGACAAGGGACCAGCTTCTGCCTCTCGCATTCCAAGCCCAAATCTCGAGAATAATAAAAGGATTTCATCCACGGCCTTAGAATCGCAAAAAACAAGCGCGAGCTACCCATGAAACTCGACGAGAGCAACACACAACAACTTTCCAAACTTTTCCCTCTTGGCAGAGGGATAATAAGAGCAGGAAACCTGTCATTAGCAAAGTCGAACGACATAATAGCAAAATCATCCTCACGCCCCGTAGCTAGCCAATAGCAAAAGCCAGTAATGTTTTATAAAAGTTCTTTTTTTTGCAGGATTACTAACAAGCCATTTTACCAATGTCAACAAGAGTCAAATTTAAGTTATGAGCAGCATAGTTACCAACTAATAGAAGGATATATAATATTTAACAAACATCCATAGCCTTGTACTTGGCCCCATTATCAGTGACCAAATGAATGACATTACTTGCTCCAACTCATTCAACTAACTCAACCAACAAATCATATATAGTGTTTGCATTATTTGCAACATCAAAAGCATCGACCGGCATCGACCGATCTAAATATTGTTGTTCCCCTTTTGCAATACACCAATAAATTGATAAGCAGTCTATTAAATTGATCTTTCAGCTATAATAGTACAAACCCCTTTCATCCCATATGCTCCGATAACCATCAATAACTATATGAACTTCCGTTTTCAAACTTCCTGACAAATTTATCCCCACACTATAATATATAATAAGCAACTTTATAACCAAGACCAGTGGAAGCAATAGCATTGTTTATTTTATGAAAATAAAGAGAGTTCAAACATTTATGGAATGCAACTAACATAGCAAAATCTCGCAATACCCTAACACAACATTCGCAGGTTGTCGACTTTCCAGAAGTGATAACTCGACAATATAGTTGGCCAAGATTCGAATGGCAGTAAAGGAGAGCCAGCCTGGAAAAGTAGTCACAATACATAATGCCAAAGAAAAATCATAAAAAATCCAGGTTTTCTCAATGGTGGTCATACCTCATTGAGACCTGGTGTGGCACAAACAAACCTTTTGTTGCAAGTTTCAATAAATAGATAATGATTATTAACATCTTATTTTGAAATTTGAGACAAATGGGATAAGGAGGATATGAATTAAATTTTTGCTTCAAGTAACATTTAGTTGTGGGTGCTTTCTTCTAACTTGAAAATATTGTTGAACTTCTCATGACTGCTCTGCATGTATAAAACAAGTAACTATAGTAATTGCAAATTAAAAAGAGAAAAAATGAAGTATCTCTTCCTTGAAATGTGTATTAGCAGATATATAGCAGAATTCTTCCACCTGAGGCAAGAAAATCCCCATATATTTCCTGCAAGTACGCATTTTGTACTATTATGCACCACACAATTGCAATTTTTTTGTATATCCATACATTTGCATAAACATAACTGTCTACTTTGTTTGGCAATCAGCAGATAACATATAGCGGATAGCAGATTGTATCAGCGGATAGTGGATTTTATTAGCTGATTTGACCAGTGGATTGCATTAGCGATTTTTAAATAAGTGTTTGGTAAATAGCTGAAAGCTTATAGCTGTTTGACATTGGAAAATAATCAATAATGATATTTTATTATTTAAGGTGTATTCTTTTAATAACAACATATTAAAACATTGATATTATTTACTTGGTAATTTATATATATATATATATATATATATATATATATATATTTTAAAATTTACTAACACTTGATGAAGAAGTTATGAATTTTACATTTTTCTAAATAAAATTATTAATATGGATGACATATTATTATTTATTAGCACAATGAGCCAATGTAGATTGTAAAATAAATAATACAAATTAAAAAGTTCCAAATAAACATTTTTTGTGAATACTTTATCCCAAAAAGCTGCTCTAATGAACTTTTTTCTAAATTAGAGTTTTGGACTCAAAAAGCTTATCAAATAAGCTATTTACCAAACAGACTCGAATTTGACGGGTCAAACCTCTCAAGTAAATCTAATCCCTAATTTATCTTCAATCCGCTATCTTCACAACGGGGCAATTGTGAATTGAAAAAAAAAAAAAAGAGCCCTTTCCTTATTTTTGGGAGGACTCGGATTATATAGCATGACCAATAAAATAAAATAAAATAAAATAAAATAAAATAAAATAAAAAAATAGCATGACCAAACCCTATTTACACAGCAAATCATATATCTGAGTTAACAGTCCCTAGTACACACGAATTCATATATTTTAATATACCTCTGGGTTAACGACAGTCCCTAACTAGCTAGTACACAAGAATTCGTATACTCGACTTTAACATGACGGCGGAGCAAACTCCAGCAAGCGTCGATGAAATTTTCGCAAAATCAAGTGTTGCCGTCACTCTCAAGGTACCTTCTTTTCTTTTGTTTAATTTCTTT